ATTTCCCTGATGGTTAGTGGTGCCAAGCAGCACCTTTTCCTAAACCTGTTTGCTACTTTTACGTCTTCTTTAAAGAAATATATATTTAGGTTCTTTACATATTTTCAACTAGATTTACTACGTTTTTTTGTTTGTTTGTTTGTTTGCTTTTCAGTTTTGTTAGATCATCATTACTTATCAGGTATATTTTCTCCCAGTCCATTCATTTTGTTCTTTATTTCCTTTGTTGTGCATAAACTCTTTAGCCTGATAAACTCCCGTCTGTGTGTGTGTGTGTGTGTGTGTGTGTGTGTGGTGTTTTGTTTCTTCTTTGCTCTTTTTGATTGTGTTTTTGGTGTCATACCCCCCAAAATTATTGCAACGGTCAATGTCACGGAGTTTATTCTCTCTGGTTTCTTCTAGGAGTTTTACAGTTTTGGTGTTATATTAAAGTGTTTAACTCATTATGAGATAATTTTGTATGTGGTACAAGATAAGTGTTCAGTGTCTTTCCTTTGCATGTGGATATCCACGTTTCCCAAAAATTTTCACTGAAGAGACTACAGTTTCTGTTTTATATCTTGATGGTTTTGTCAAAGATTAGTTGATCTATACTCATGGGTTTAATTGTGGTCTGTCTGTTTTGTTTCATTAGCCTATGTGTCTGTTTTTATGCTGGTACCATCCTCTTTTGATTAGCTTAGCTTTGTAATGTAGTTTGAAGTGAAGAAGTGTGACACCTCCAACTTTGTTGTTCTTTAAAATTGCATTGGCTATTTTTGGTCATTTGGGGTCCCATATGAATTTGGAATTTTATTGCTATTTTTCTGAAAAGTGCCACTTGAATTTAGACAGGGATTCCTTTGGATCTATAGATCAGTTTCTGTAGTATGAACATTTTATGGATATTAGTTTTGAATTTCATAAACAAGGAATGTCTTTCCATTTATTTGAGTCTACTTTAATTACTTCTATCATATTTTACAGTTTTCACAGAACAGATTTTTCACGTCCTGTGTTAAATTTACTCATAAACATTTTATAATTTTTGATGCTATTGTATATGGGATTGTTTATTTTTTTTTTCTTCAATAGTCCATTGTTAGTGTATAAAAATGCAACTGGTTTTTGTATGTTGATTTTTGTGACCTGTCACTTTACTGAATGTTTATTAATTTTATAGTTTGGTATAGTCTTTAAGGTTTTCCATGTATAAGATCACATCATCTGCAAGCAGAAACAATTTTTAGTCCTTTTCTATTTGAATTTTTTTGTTTGTTTTTTTCCATACCTAATTGTTGTAGCTACTTTTTTGTAGTACTTTTTTGTAGTATTTTTTTGTAGTACTTCCAGTACTATGTTTACTGAAGTGATGAAGTGGGCATCCTTGTCTTGTTCCTGAGAGTAGAGGAAAAAATTTCAGCATTTCTCTACTGAGTGTTATGTTACGTAAGTACTTATTATGTATGGTGTCTGTGCTGAGATATATTTTTTTGTGTGTGTATTGTTCAGAGATTTTATTATGAATGCGTGTTAAATTTTGTCAGATGTTTTTAATGCATCCTTTGAGACAGTGGTATGATTTTTGTTTTNTTTTTTTTTTCTCTTATTTCAAATACCATAATGTCCATTAGGTCCATCCATGTCACAAGTGAGAGGAT